GGGGGGGGGTTAACCTTCGTTATTTGCTGAAAAATCATCCACTTATTACCTTTTCCTTTTCAGCACATAACGGAGGATATTTCCTCCCAAAAAAAAAACTTCATCTGAAAAACTCACAAAAACAGCGAATAGGTCAGTTGTTCAGTGAATAATGGAACAAAAACAATGAACAGATGACTCACATGTTTTGTAATAAAATTTAACCTTGGCCTGAGTGCAAAAAAACTGCAGAAATACGTTTAGTAAAAAAATAAATAAAGGGTGGATGCATTTCAGTGCCTGAAAAACGCATTTATTAAACGCATATATTTTCTGTGAGAACACAACAGGGACGAGATGAGTTTTTCAACAAAAACCAGAGGATTGGTACTGACTACATAAAAAAATCTGCAACTGTCTGTAATCTTGTGGCATCTTAAACTATGTTGAAGAAAGATGAGGAGCAAGACAAAGCAGCTTTATTTATACAGCACATTTCACACACAAGGCAACTCAATGTGCTTCACACAAACAAAACCGCCTAAAAGTATTTATAAGCAGAACTGCTGAAGAAGTTCAAAGGCAAATCAAAGAGAACAAAAGTAGCTTATTAAGTTACTAAGAGAATGTACATTGACAAAACTAAAATGCATTTACAAAAAAGATTTAAAAGGAAAGGAAATAATAAAAAGTAAAAAAAGTAAGCTTTCTGAAATTACGAAACAAATGTACAATAACACAGATTTTTAAAATGCTTAAAAGGCCTTAATCAAAAAATTTGGGCATCAGAGTTAATTTATACAAAGGTATTGCTGTGGCACCATTTGATGGCTTATGTCTACCAAGGAAATATGTTGAAGTGAGTTGAGGAGCTTTAGCAGAAATTTCAACTGAACAAGAAGATATCAATAAAAAGAAACATCCATTCATCCATCCATTCATTTTCTGAACCGCTTCATCCTCACAAGGGTCGCGGGGTGTGCTGGAGCCTATCCCAGCCATCTTCGGGCAGTAGGTGGTGGACACCCTGAACTGGTTGCCAGCCAACCATCCGCGCTCACACTCACACACTGGACACCGGGCCGCCCAACAAGAAACATGTTACAGATATTTAAAATGTAATGATCATTAGTCGGAAAGATGATGTTGATCTCTCGCGTGTTAATCCGGGATAGTTAAACTGAACTGTTAAATGCTTTACCTGCTCACCAGTGCAGTTGTTTATATACTATGTAACATGGGTTCATGATTGCGTACATTCTAGATGCATGATGCTTATAAATAAATCAATCCAAACGTAATATCTGCAAATAAAACGGACTTGACTTTTGTCTCTTGGGTGTCAAAGGGTTGAATTTGAGAAGATGAGCAACGAAGGGGAGCTCCTGACACGGGAGCTGTCGAAGATGTCGGATGAGGACCTGCTGGCTTGCTCCAAGGAGGAGCTGCTGAGTCGCCTGCGCAAGGAGGAGTCGGAAAAGATGTCGGCGCTCATCCAACGGGGTCGTCTCATCAAGGAGGTGAACAAGCAGCTCCAGGGCCACCTGCTGGAGATCCGCGAGCTCAAAGTCATCAACCAGCGTCTGCAGGAGGAGAACGTGGAGCTGCGGGACCTGTGCTGCTTCCTGGACGACGACCGGCTCAAGGTGAAGAAGCTGGCGCGCGAGTGGCAGCACTTCGGCCACCACGCCGCAAAGGTCATGCGCGAGGACCTGGGTGGCTACTTGAAGAAGCTGGCCGAGCTGGAGCGCACCCAGGATGGCCTGGTCAAGGAGAATCTAGACCTGAAGGAGCTGTGCCTGGTCCTAGAGGAGGAGTGCGTCAGTCGGAGTGACTCCAGCCCAGGCGGGTCCACCGAGCTGGGCCCGCCGCT